TGTGTGTGTGTATGTGTGTGTGGTTTATGGTATCTTTCGCTACTGTTCCAATACCTAGATCTCCAAACTTTTCAGTATATTTAATTTTTATAAGATTGTTCTACAGCTCTTATATCTCAATTCTTCATAAAATATGCACGAGACTCGAGATCTGCAAACTACGAGTCGATTGCACTCGTACGAAACCTCGCGTCACATAAAATTTAATAAATATAATTATTGACATTCTCTATTCATCATCATTACCATAATAGTATAAAAGGCATTACAGTTCAAGTTGTACCATAACTCTTCAATTGTTCAAGTCTACAGTAGAGAATCATTCTTAGCACTTTATATCTATAAAATTTATAAAGTTGAATATTTTATCTGTATAAGAATTTAATTTTTACACATATTTTGTATTCTCATATCTTGTGTCACAGTTTGAATGTTTCGAAAATTGAAGATATCTTAACGCAAAGTAATAATAAACGAAATATATATCCGAAAATCGTACCTTGGATATTCCGTAAGGTGGATAACGATCTTAGAACATACATATGGAAGGACCATATTATATCTAACAAATGTAATAAAGGTATCTCCAACATCTATCTGTCCTTGTTTGAAAGTTTGTTTGCTGTGCGCGTGATAATACTGCGTAATTTGAATTTAAAAAATATAGAACCGTTATCAAAATGGTATTCGAAATTTGAAAACGATGGAAAAGAATGTTCCCAGCTATTAAATTGGTTTTGCGTTCTAGTTATAAAGATACATACAGTTTGCAAAAAGATCTCTGTACTACATCTTTAGGAAACCTAAACACATTACATAATAAATTACATAATAAGTTTTTAAATTATTTCAATGTTGATTATACATTTAAATAAGCTATACATTTAAAATACACAGCTATATTTTATATATTTATTATATAATTTATATATTTACATATTTAAATTATATATATTTATATAATTTAAATTAATTCAATACACACATAACTTTAATGCTTGGCTTAAAATTATCTATGACGTACGGCTATACTTACGCATAAAGAGATATTTTGTTTTGCTCCGTTAATATATTTTATATTTTGAAATATAATGCAACAACGTCTCATTTTTTAAAATAATTTTATATTTTTACGTTTTGTGAGCGTTGAATGTATGTATGTATATACATATGGATATTCATAATGACATAATCGACGCATGTGCATTACGGTGAAGCATTCAGACAAAGCAGATAAATGATAAGGTCATCAACATTCCACAAGTCACCTATGGGTTCTATGGCTCTTATGTTTCTACCTGTTTCCACCGAGCACGTCATGCGTCGCGTCATGAAAGAGAGAAAGAGAGAAGTTTATATAAATGCACAACCCTTCTCTTTCTCTCCTTCGACGACGCGACGCGTGACGCGCTCAGTGGAAACTCAGCCCATGGTTGTATACTTCCACCATGACTCAGCCCCTTCCAGTATGTATGTTCTAAATCTAAGATCGTATGTCTAAGGGCTGCGCAGAATAAAAGGAACATAGAACAGAGAATATAAGAATGTCAACCTATCAGAAATCATGTACTATGAAATACACACTGTTTATTCCACAGTATATGATTTCTGATAGGTCGAAATTCTTATTTTTTGTTCTCTGTTCCCTGTTCCTTTTATCCTGCTTAACTCCTAATGATATTCAACAATATACAAAAAAGCATTAGTATGAAAGTGGTGGTGACGCGCATGCGTTGGGAAATCTATATATATATATATATAGTGTAAGAATATAGTGTAAAGTTTAGTAAAGGTATAGAATCGAAGACTCTCAATTTTATCTTTAGTACTGTGACCTACGCAGTTATCGGAAGACTTTATTGGATAGCGGAGAGTAAAAGAGTTTGAATATCTATTTTGTCTATTGTCCGAATTAAATTTTTGCATTGAGTGTTATCATTCTGCATAAAGAAATCTGATCAGTTCCTGTTTCCTTTTGTGATACAGGCATTGATTTAAATCATTATTGCATTAAATCGTCATTGCAGATATTAAAATTTTTGTAAGTTTTTATCGAATTTATAATCTTCCATTATTGCCTTCTAAGTCTGTATTTATTTGATAATATTTATCCGATTTACTTGTGAAAGAGATTCAAGGAAAAGAACTATTATTAACCGTATTGTTTTCAAGTATAGAAAATTTTTAGGCAAGAAAATTAAATAAATCGTCAAATTTATGGCTACACAAAATATTGAACAACAGCAACGTAAGTTAAACGCTGAGACATTCCAGAATAAATTAGATATGGAAGAGGATCAACGTAAGTGTCGCTCATCAGATATGGAATTAACAGGTGACGATTCTGTATTAGATGAGAAAAATAATGAAGAGGACAACAGTGTAAAGGTTATACAGTTTTGAATATTAAATTTCGAACATATACTAAAAATCGTATGACATAAAACGTTATTTAACATGCACGAAAAAGTCGATATGCCTGTGAAAGTGTAGACAAAAGCATGTGAACACGTGCTCTGTTCTGCGCGATCAAGGTTATACTCGAAAACACTGTTCAAGTATTTTTGTTTTTTTTTTTTATTATTTTGTCCTTGTTGTTTATCGAGAATGGTAAATATAAAGATACTTAGATTGTGTTTCCGATTATGCTTTACAGTTTACACTTTACGTTGTTTATTGTTTTACATTTAATAAAGTTATTTAAAAGTCATTTCGGCTACAAGATAAAATTTTGTGATCTAAAAATTATATGTATTGTTATATAAAAGTGGTCGCTGAAAACGAAAATGATACCTAAAGTTAAATCGATTGAATTACATAGAACATAAAATAGTGAAAAAATGCATTTTTAGTCAAAAAAATTGTTCAAATTGCTTCCGTTTTCGCATTTCTACGATTTTCTTTGCAAATGTTAATGAAAAACATATGATAATTAACGTCTGGAAATTTTATATGTATATAGTTTGTTTTTTTTATATTATACGTACGTTAAACATATTTGGCTCTGTGCCCTTTTTCTTATTTGTATTGTTTTATACATGTGAGCCTTTTCATTACTTATTTTTATGTGATAATTATTTTTTGAAAAATAACAATTTCAGACATTCAAAAAATTTGAATAATTTTTCACAAATAACGCATTTTTCATTATTTTGCTCTGCAATCGCTTTAATTTTATCATTTTTTAATTTATGAACTAATTTTTATAACAGAAATAAGTAATTTTTAACAATTGTAAAATTTCATCGTGGATCTGGCATAAATAAATAATTTCCTTTAAATCTCAAATGTGAATAAAAAACACAAATTGTCTTTATTTATGCTTAAAGTAGTCAGCGGAAACCACTTCGCCAGATCAGGATGAACGGTCCCAACTTCTTTGCAATCGTGTATCCCAATTGAGGGACAATAAAAAAATTGCTCCTGACGTAAACTTGAAAGAACTAGTTATTTTAACTAAGAATCTTAATTCTGTAGACGTAGAACTTTTAGTTAGATTTGCAATGGATACAGCACTAGTACGGTTAAGTAACGCTTACAAGACAAAGGAGATAAAGCTAGATATGGATACAATAGAGGAGAAGGTTATAGTAACTAGAAACGACTTTTTGTATGCACTGGATACTTATATTACACCAGTAAGTAATCGATAATTTGAAACTTTTATTATTTATTGAATAAATAAACGAATTATATTTATTGTTTATTGATTACTCTTACAATTGAACTGCTTCATGAATTGTAATTAAAATATCATCTAAATTATTCTCGTTCGAAAAAAATCGGTCAAATTTTTTGAATTTTCTTTTTTAAAATTTTTATTGATAATGATAATTAATTATTTATTGAAAAATAACAGTTTTAGACGTTCGAAAAATTTGAACAATTTTTCACTAATAATGCATTTTTCATTATTTTGCTCTACAATCGCTTTAATTTTATCATTTTTTAATTTATGAATTAAGAAGTAAATAAAGTGCAATGTGAGAATGACAGAAATTTAAGCAGTTTTTGACAAAAAATACATATTCTCATTATTTTATTCTACTTCATTTTAATTTTATCATTTTTATTTCTAAAGATTAATTTTACATTAAAAAAATACATAATTTTTAGACCGCAAAATTTAATTTTAAATTTATATAAGATGTATAGTAGCTGAACGTTATATCTTCATATCTTTTAGCCATTCAATCCATGGTTAGATAGTAAGATTATCACTTGGGGATCACCGGTAAATGAATTTCTTGAAAATGGCAATTTATACGCTAAAGTCGCCCAGAAAACTGGGCTCTTTACTGTTCTTTTGGAAGGTCCACCACACTGTGGAAAAACAACGCTTGCCACACACATCGCAAAAAATTCAAACTTTGAATGTCTTAAAGTTATTACACCTGAAGACATACTGAACCTTGATGAATTTGACAATGAAACCGCAAAATGTCGTTATATACGAGAGGTATGATAAAACGCATTTTGTATTACACAATTTTATAAGTAAATTCTCGTAATTATATTTACTGTAAAGATTAGAATAATCGCTTATCATTTTATACATTTTAGATGTTTAACGAGGCATATCGTGCACCATGCAGCTGTATTTTAATTGATGATATTGAACGTCTACTGAATTCCTGTCCAATTAAACAAAAGTGTTCTACTATGATGTTACAAACACTATTGGTGTTATTAGAGAAATCACCGCCACCTGGTCATAAACTATTGATTTTGTGCACTACTAATTGGGTGTAAGATAAGAACTTTCTTGGTCATAGAGAAAAAATCATTATTAACAAACTTATATTTATATATTCTCACATAATATATTTTCTTTTTACAGAAGATGTATTGACGATATGAAATTACTTCCAACATTTAATGCCATTCTTGAAGTGCCACTATTGTCAACCATTGAACATTTGTTAAATGTATTGACTGAAGTTAATCTCTTTTCGAAACATAAAATGGCTTCTTTTAAGGCAAAGCTTCAAGAAAAACAAAAGTAAGATGTTAAGAGATATTTTAGTAATTCCTAAACTTTATCAACTTTGTTAAGACAATATATATAATATCCAATTTTGTATATGATAGATACAGCGATATTTTGTTATAAATACTTCATTATTATAAATTTCTCCTAGTGTAAATACTTTCTCTTTACATATATTTTAGCGTTATACATTTTTTATGATTTTAGAATATACATTGGTATTAAGCATTTGCTTCGCCTGATAAATATAGTACGTGAAATAGATTCAAGTGACAGAGTCAACGAATTTTTTGCAAAATTGGAGGAAGAAGGTGAACTGCATTAATAGCTTTGAATTGTATTAATTGACATGTAGTATTATTAATTATACTTAATTAGTAAATAATAATAATAATATATCATTATTATTAAGGTACACAGTCGCAATAGAAAAGGAATAAGGAATAAGGAATAAGAAATCTTAATTTATCAGAAATCGAATACATTGGTATACATAGTTTCTGATAGGCTAAAATTTCTTATTCCTTATTTCTTATTCCTTCTATTGTGACTGCACCCTTATTGTACAATAATATAGTAATTATTATATTACTATTATATATGTATATTATATAATAATGATATTATTACTATATTATACTATTACTACTATTAGTATATCATACGTTTTTATATTGTATTATTTGAAGATAAAAAAAATTTTATAAATATATCATATTTTGAAGCGCAGATATAGAGTATTCTTTTTTACCATTTTTATTTTGATATTATTCCCTAATAATAATTTTAAACGGAAGACTATGAAAATAAGAACAAAACAAGAAGTATCTTAAACTCTTTTTAATCCTATGAGAATATATAAATAAGTAATATACAAAATATTTTTAAATAACGCAGCTAGGTTATTTGATCAAAAAATATAAAATATAGGCATTTATTTCTTTTTCTGAAATCCTTTTATATGTATTTCCTATTAATTGCCGACTTTATTATATAAGTTTAAAAACAAGTTTTGAAACAAAGGATAAAATTCAACCAATATAGGAAATAATGCCTATAGGAAATTTAAGAACGACCATCCCGACGCATATATTTCTTTCCTTCGACGACGCACGCGTGACGCGCTCAGTAGAAACTTCAGCCTTCCAGTATGTATGTTCTAAATCTAAGATCGTATGTCTAAGGGTTGCGCAGAATAAAAGGAGCAGAGAACAGAGAATATAAGAATTTCAACCTATCAGAAATCATGTACTATGGAATACACACTGTTTATTCCACAGTATATGATTTCTGATAGGTCGAAATTCTTATTTTTTGTTCTCTGTTCCTTTTATTCTGCTTAACTCCTAATAATATTCAACAATATACAAAAAAGCATTAGTATGAAAGTGGTGGAGACGCGCATGCGTTGGGAAATCTATATATACATATATAGTGTAAGACTAAAGTTTAGTAAAGGTATAGAATCGAAGACTCTCAATTTTATCTTTAGTACTGTGACCTACGCAGTTATCGGAAGACTTTATTGGATAGCGGAGAGTAAAAGAGTTTGAATATCTATTTTGTCTATTGTCCGAATTAAATTTTTGCATTGAGTGTTATCATTCTGCATAAAGAAATCTGATCAGTTCCTGTTTCCTTTTGTGATACAGGCATTGATTTAAATCATTATTGCATTAAATCGTCATTGCAGATATTAAAATTTTTGTAAGTTTTTATCGAATTTATAATCTTCCATTATTGCCTTCTAAGTCTGTATTTATTTGATAATATTTATCCGATTTACTTGTGAAAGATTCAAGGAAAAGAACTATTATTAACCGTATTGTTTTCAAGTGTAGAAAATTTTTAGGCAAGAAAATTAAATAAATCGTCAAATTTATGGCTACACAAAATATTGAACAACAGCAACGTAAGTTAAACGCTGAGACACTCCAGAATAAATTAGATATGGAAGAGGATCAACGTAAGCGTCGCTCATCAGATATGGAATTGACAGTCGACGATTCTTTATTAGTTGAGAAAAATAATGGAGAGGACAACAGTGTAAAGGTTATACAGTTTTGAATATTAAATTTCGAACATATACTAAAAATCGTATGACATAAAACGTTATTTAACATGCACGAAAAAGTCGATATGCCTGTGAAAGTGTAGACAAAAGCATGTGAGCACGTGCTCTGTTCTGCGCGATCAAGGTTATATTCGAAAACACTGTTCAAGTATTTTTGTTTTTTTTTTTATCATTTTGTCCTTGTTTATCGAGAATGGTAAATACAAAGATACTTAGATTGTGTTTCCGATTATGCTTTACAGTTTATACTTTACGTTGTTTGTTTTTACATTTAAAGTTATTTAAAAGTCATTTCGGCAAGATGAAATTTTGTGATCTAAAAATTATATGTATTTTTATGTAAAAAGTGATCGTTGAAAACGAAAATGATACCTAAAGTTAAAACGATTGAAAAAAAATTACATAAAATAGTGAAATATTATATAAAATGGAATATAAAATAGTGAAAAATTGCATTTTTAGTCAAAAATTGTTCAAATTGCTTCCGTTTCCGCATTTCTACGATTTTCTTTGCAAATGTTAATGAAAAACATATGATAATTATTTTTTTAAAAATAACAATTTCAGACATTCAAAAAATTTTAATAATTTTTCAGAAATAACTCATTTTCCATTATTTTGCTCTGCAATCGCTTTAATTTTATCATTTTTTAATTTATAAACTAATTTTTGTAGTAGAAATAAGTATCTAATTTTTAAACAATTGTAAAATTTCATCGTGGATCTGGCATAAATAATTTCCTTTAAATCTCAAATGTCAATGAAAAACACAAATGTGCCTTTATTTATGCTTAAAGTAGGCAGCGGAAACCACTTCGCCAGAACAGGATGAACGATCCCAATTTCTTTCCAATCGTGTATCCCAAATGAGGGACAATAAAAAAATTGCTCCTGACGTAAACTTGAAAGAACTAGTTATTTTAACTAAGAATCTTAATTCTGTAGAGGTAGAACTTTTAGTTAGATTTGCAATGGATACAGCACTGGTACGGCTAAGTAAAGCTTACAGAGAAACGGAGATAAAGCTAGATATAGATACGATAGAGGAGAAGGTTATAGTGACTAAAAACGACTTTTTGTATGCACTGGATACTTATATTACACCTATAGTTAGTAATCGATAATTTGAAACTTTTATTATTTATTGAATAAATAAACGAATTATTTTTATTGTTTATTGATTACTCTTACAATTGTGTTGCTTCGTCAATTGTAATTAAAATGTTATCTAAGTTATTCTCGTTCGAAAAAAATCGTTCAAATATTTTGAATTTTGTTTTTTAAAATTTTTATTGATAATTAATTATTTATTGAAAAATAACAGTTTTAGACGTTCGAAAAATTTGAACAATTTTTCACTAATAATGCATTTTTCATTATTTTGCTCTACAATCGCTTTAATTTTATCATTTTTTAATTTATGAATTAAGAAGTAAATAAAGTGCAATGTGAGAAAGACAGAAATTTAAGCAGTTTTTGACAAAAAATACATATTCTCATTATTTTATTCTACTTCATTTTAATTTTATCATTTTTATTTCTAAAGATTAATTTTACATTAAAAAAATACATAATTTTTAGACCGCAAAATTTAATTTTAAATTTATATAAGATGTATAGTAGCTGAACGTTGTATTTTCATATCTTTTAGCGATTGAATGTGGAATCATTGAAACCATGGTTAGGCAGTAAGATTATCACTTGGGGACCACCGGTAATTGAAATTCTCGAAATTGGCAATTTATACGCTAAAGTCGCCCGGAAGACTGGGCTCTTTACTGTCCTTTTGGAAGGTCCACCACACAGTGGAAAAACAACGCTTGCCGCACACATCGCAAAGAATTCAAACTTTGAATTTTTTAAAGTTATTACACCTGAAGACATATTGAACCTTGATGAATTTGACAATGAAACCGCAAAATGTCGTTATATACGAGAGGTATGATAAAACGCATTTTGTATTACACAAGTTTATAAGTAAATTCTCGTAATTATATTTACTGTAAAGATTAGAATAATCGCTTATTATTTTATACATTTTAGATGTTTAACGAGGCATATCGTGCGTCATGCAGCTGTATTTTAATTGATAATATTGAACGTCTACTGAATTACTGTCCAATTAAACAAAAGTATTCTACTATGATGTTACAAACACTTTTGGTGTTATTAGAGAAATCACCGCCGCCTGGTCATAAACTATTGATTTTGTGCACTACTAATTGGACGTAAGATAAGAACCCTCTTGGTCATAGAGAAAAAATCATTAACAAACTTATATTTATATATTCTCATATAATATATTTTCTTTTTACAGAAAATGTGTAGACGATTTGAAATTAATTCCAACATTTAATGCCATTCTTGAAGTGCCATTTTTGTCAACCATTGAGCATGTGTTAAATATATTGACTGAAGTTAATCTCTTTTCGAAACATCAAATGGCTTCTTTTAAAGCAAAGCTTCAAGAAAAACAAAAGTAAGAAATTATAAGACAATATATATAATATCCAATTTTTGTATATGATAGATGCAGCGATATTTTGTTATAACTACTTCATTATTATAAATTTCTCATAGTGTAAATATTTTCTCTTTGTATATATTTTAACGTTATACATTTTATGATTTTAGAGTATTGATTGGTATTAAGAATTTGCTTCGCCTGATAAATATAGTACGTGAAATAAATTCAAGTGACAGAGTCGACGACTTTTTGGCAAAATTGGAGGATGAAGGTGAACTGCATTGATAGCTTTGAATTGATTTATAGTATTAATTGACATATAGTATTATTAATTATACTTAATTAGTAAAATAATAGTAATTATATATCATTATTATTAAGGTACACAATCACAATAGAAAAGGAATAAGAAAACGTAATCTATCAGAAATCGAATACATTGGTATACATAGTTTCTGATAGGCTAAAATTTCTTATTCCTTATTTCTTATTCCTTCTATTGTGATTGCACCCTTATTATTGTATAATAATATATAGTAATTATTATATTACTATTATTATATATGTATATAATAATGATATTATTATTATATTATACTATTACTACTATTATTATATCATACGTTTTTATATTGTATTATTTGAAGATAAAAAAAATTTTATAAATATATTATATTTTGAAGCGCAGATATAGATACTATCCTTTTTTACCATATTTATTTTGATATTATTCTTTAATAATAATTTTAAACGGAGGACTGAAAATAAGAACAAAACAAGAAGTCTCTTAAACTCTTTTTAATCCTATGAGAATATATAAATAAGTAATATACAAAATATTTTTAAATAACGCAGCTAGGTTATTTGATCAAAAAATATAAAATGTAGGCACATCTGTTTCTTTTTCTAAAATCCTTTTATATATAATTATTTCCTATTAATTGCCGACTTTATTATATAAATTTAAAAACAAGTTTTGAAATAAAGGATAAAATTCAACCAATATAGGAAATAATGCCTATAGGAAATTTGAGAACGACCATCCCGACGCTACGACTTTATCGGCATGTGGTGCGTAGTTCGCATCATTCCATAAAATTGACGTTGGTGTCGCTGGTGTTTTTATTTTAATTTTAATTCAAATTTGATTATCAATATAATAATAAAGACGCTCGATCCTAAAATGTTTGTAACTTAAGGTCGCAGTATTTAATCGATTCTTATTTCAAGACTATTTAAATAATGTCTGAAGATGCTAGTAACATGGTTTTCTAATTGATTCAGTATTTAAATTTTAAAACATTGACTCTGAATATCGGCCTCATATATCGTAATGGAGCCTCGAGGGGGATTGGAAATAATTGAAGAACGATGACATTATCGAAATTAATAAAACTTTGAAATTATTAACATAAATATTTCGATATAATTCATTATTAAATTCGTAATTTTTTTTATTATATAAATATTATATAAAGTAATACGTATACCTTAATGCTATAATATCGTATGTGTATCGGAAAATTGCAATTCTTTCTTCGCGCAATTATATCATCTCTATTATAATAATAAGTATCTGATCGTGTCGGTGCATATGTGAACGTGGTTACCGATCGTGACCGGCCGAGATCGTCACGCCACACGCGATCAGACGGAACAGTTGGTCGCCGCGCGCGCGCGGGTATCGATCGCGCCAGTGGCAGGCGCAGCAGCGGCATAATCAGGCGAGGCGCGATATCGGGAGGATGCCGCCGCCGCCGCCGCCGCCGTTGCTTCCGCACCATTCCGCACGGCTTTTGCAGTTGGTGCGCGACTGGCTGGCCTACCGGCTCGTCTCCATTCACGTCGCCATTCACCCCCGCGCCGCCGTTGTCAAGCTGTTATGTCGGCGCCGCTTCCCTCGTAGTGATTGTTTAGCAGTCGTTGCAGGCCAGTCTCGACGGGCGACACGCACGCCCGCCCGCCTCCTCCTCCCCATCATCCCATCCCCTGAGAGACGAATGTCCGCAGGTAAGGCGATCATCCCTGTTGTACACTTCTAGAGTTCTCGTTCCGTAGTTTCTCTTCGCGTATATTCTCCGCACGCGTAACGCATCTCCGGCGTGAGGGGGGTTGGCGGGGTGACACGCGAGAGACAAGAGGGACCGAAATGTCGAGAGACTGTAATTGAATCGAGCAGGTTCGATCGTCGCTGCGCGCGACGTTTATAACCTGTCGCGAGCACATTGGCAGTCAATCGCCATCGACTTGCCAATTATACACGACGACGAGCCTGTGTCCTGCGATGAAATTTCGAATTTGCTAATTCAGCTTGGTTTCATCGACCGTTTTAGCTGTCGGGACAATGTCGCGAGGAGTTGACTGTCGAAAAAGCGTCAGTCAGTTTTTATCACGTTTACTTTCTCTCTCCGTTGTTTTTCGCGTTTTTTTAATAATAGCTTAACCGAACCTTTATATATTATTTTTGTGTGGGGAGTATTATATTATCATATATGTCAAATATTCGTACATTGACGTTTACTTTGCGCCACGTACTTTATGTTACATTTTTTAAATATTTTTCTACAAAGGACATGATATATTCCCATGTATATAATTAAATAAAGGCTTTTATTTAACTTATTGTCGGGTTCACCAACAGTAACGCGAATTAATAACGAAATTAACAGCTCTTTTCTACCTCTGCCTTTTTCAATTCAAATCCGCAAAGAGAAAAAATCAGTTAATTTCGGACTAACCTAATTAGATATAATAATGAATTCAACAATAATGAATTATAATAGTTAATATATTGTATAAACTATGCATATATTATACATATATAATTGTCATAAATAATTCAAAACAGCGTTTATTGTTTCTCAATCGAAATGAAATGGTTACTCATGAACGAATTAAATGAGTAATCACATATACGCTTGAAAAATTTGTGTTAAATTTAACATATTTCGCATCCAAATAGTTCACCTAACTTTTTATATTAACTTAACACAAGATGAATATATTAGAAAGTAACACACAAATATTGTGTAAAGAAAATTAACAAAAGTAACACGGACATAATTTGTAACCAAACTATAGAAGCATATTTTTTCAGTTAAATTGATATTTATGATATGTTAAATGAACAGGTATTTTATATTCATTTACGTTTTAAAACATTATTTTTATTTTATTTATTCGTGTACTTATGAATTGTGACATTTGACACTAAGAAATGTTAAATGTCATTTTAAGAAAGAATAATCTCATTACGTTAAAAATTTAACGCAAAATTTTAACCAGGACTTGAGTGGACTATTGCGATAGTTTTTTACTTTTTGCAATACACAATACGCGTATATTATAGAAAAAAAAAGTCTGGTTGCATCAATTGGAATTCTGATTTAAATTGTAAAGGTATTCAATTAGACACTTATAGCTAAATCTAATAAAATAATAGATAACATAATTAAATCTAATAAATTTAATAAATATAATGGAGTCAGATATTTTAATTGAGGTTCCTAGAAATTTAATTACGATAACTAATAAAATTTTGATTTATATAACCGGAAATTAGAATGCGTTTTATTCGTATCTCTTCACTTAACAAAATACATTTCTAGGAAGTACTGCGATATATCTAGAAGACGAGATAAAATTTAGATTTGTGCTATATAAATTCTATGCGTATGATACATAATTTCCTATTAGATACAAAAGACAAGGGTATATAATTTTAGCTGGAGCAGTAAAATATTTTTTGCATGTGTTGGTACAATCAGACATTTTTTTCAATGCACACGCATACGAACACATCTATCCCATCACGACGCAAAAGTATATAATACGATTTGTTTATACACGATCTCTCACGTTTCGAATTTCAGTGTCTCTCAATGCTGAGACGTTCGTTGTGTATATATGACATCGATACCGATACGACAGCATTATGTACGCATACAAATCGCACGGCGGCGGCGGCCGAATCGATGCGGCCCAATTCTGAGCATGCCATAAATTTCGATCATCGATACTATCCGAAATACCTGATACAGGCACGACCGACAGCTGTTCGTTTTGAACTCGGTATGTCGGGACCGCCGCGCGCAATCCGCAAAATTTTGGCGATCTTTAAGTTTAACGCGAGGTGAGAAGTTTTCGAGGATATCTAACGCTCGGCGATCCGCGAAAATCTGTGATTCTCCTCTACCTCGTCAAAAATACGCATTGGACAACGAATTTTTCCCGAAAAATCATTAGCCTCAGTTTCTTGAAATAGCAGAGAAAATGTCAAAGATCGATAGGTCTTGAAATATATATAGAAACTTTTGATTCTCGTTCCATAATATAATTGACGGGAAAATCAAGTTTTTCAATTTTATGCACAAAAGAAAGACCTTTTCCTGTCGTCAGAAAAAGTTAAAAATTTTTAAACGTTGATTTCGTTTCTTTATAAGTCATTGTATCAAATAATGTTTTTACATACTAATTGTAAGTTATCTCTTTGCGATTTTTATATTATTCAGGATCTGCACATAATGATGGATTTAATCGATTGTAATACAATTACAATTCCTGGCTTCCTTATTTTGATTTCAACGCGTATTGATATTTAATTATACGATTGTAAGTGTGAATCTTTACAGGCAGAAAATACCGATTTATATTCGACAGCGAGTTTGGAGCAAAAAAAGCGGAGCAAGTCCATAATTTATGACACTCACTTTGAATATGAAGATATATCTAAAGGAAATTTTACAAATTATGGACTTATTCTACTCTTGCTCCGACTCCTTTCATTCTTCTTCTTATACCTTTCCGTTAGAAGTAACTTCTACTGAAAGTCTCGAGCAGTCATTTACAACCTCTCTCTCTCAGCTATTATAATCAATTCACTTCAGACTAACGTTAGATATATTTCAAACAATTCCTAAGAAAATCACAAAGCAAAACTTTATTCCAAGGAGTAACTTCTAGTTCGCATCGCTCAGCGTTCGGTTTATCAGCCTTTTCGTCTTTATCGACTTATCGGTCTTGTATTATCTTTTTATTACGCTTGATTTTTTCTCGCACTCGCTAAATCGGTGTGCGTCGGAAGAAATGATTTTGTGAGTACATTTCTTTCTACTCCTCTTCTCTATTTCTACCCCGGCTATTGTCAAACAATGGTGGATTTTAATATAACGCATCCGTGAACGTATCTTTGCGACGACGGCGAGTTTTTCATTTAGTGCTACTTGTCGAAGCGGGATTTCTGGGGACAATCACGAGCAATGTCGGAAAAGGGCTGTGAGAGAGAG